AACCCTCTCTCCTCCGGCTCGGCCTTCTCCAGCCTTGCTTCAAATTCCTGCTTCTCCTTCTTGTCCTCATCGGGCATTTCACTGCGGAACCCAAATCTCTCCATCCATTCCCCCTCACCGCATTGGTGGATTTGTAAGTGGCTTGCCTAGCCACTTTCTGCACCGTCACCCTTTTCTCTTCTCACCAAACTTTCTTCTTCTTCTTCTTCTTCCGCCTCCATTTGTTTTTTCATTTCCTCCTCCTTCCTCTTCATTTCTTCCTTCATTTTTATTTTCTCTTTTTCTAACTTCTTTTTCAAATCCTCCTCCTTTTGCTTCTTCTTTACCTCCTTCCTTTCTCTCTGCTCCCTCAACTTCTCAGCAATTTGGGCCTCTTCTGCTGCTAAGTTTGGCCGTGTGGTCATACCGGATTTGGTCGTGGTACAGTGTCTAACAGTCCGGTAGAATCCCAGCGGAAAAACAATGTGGAACAGTGACTCCCATACAACGGAGAGAGCCAAGAAGGCGAACATGGGATGGTCATCCATAGCAGTAATTCAACACAACAAGTAGGTGTGCTCCACCTCCTCACCACTTAGACCTACTTCCGACACTTATCCTTACCTACTTCAGGGTCTGACTCGAGCTTGACGGGGTTGTCGCTACAGGGACACCTAAAGTAACTGACGTGCAGCAGCCGTCACCAAGAAAATACGTGGAATTCACCAAAAAACAGCAAAAAGATCCAGCAGGCAGGGCTAAGGGCAGAAAGCACTTCACTTGGGTCTTCACGATGCCGCTCCCCGCCGGTCTTCGTCTTCAACAGGCGCGTAGATCTCGTTCCAAACTTGATTTAGCACCTTTTTCCCTCTTCTCGCCTGCTACAGTGAAACCCGGACACGCACACACCCGCCGGCCTTATGCCTGGCCGACTTTTTTCCACCACCGCAGTGCAACGGGTTCCCGCTCCGATACCAGTGAAATGAAACTATCAAGATTCAACTTAGAATATAACATGCAAATTGAGAGCAATCAGATGAAGTTCACACAAGCTGGAGTGATGTCCATGAACAGTGCAAATTTGAAGTTTCACTCAAGGTGCAATAATATACAATTGGAAAAATTTGAGAATAAGCGGTTTGAACCGCTGCAACAAGCCTCAGGTATGTAACCAACTTCCTCCTCCCTCGGCTGCTTCTCTTCTCTCTCTCTCTCTCTCTC